AAAATCGGCGTGCGCGCGGAAAATTGGAGGGAGAAAGTAGATTGGGAAACAAGCGGTTGCGTTAAGCAAAGAGGAAAAGGAGAAGAGAAAAGTATGGGAGAGAGTGTGGTTATAGCGGAGATTAAAGAAAGGCGTTTAAGAGAAATTGCGAATCGACTGGGGCCCGAGAATTGCATTAGAAGAAATAATAATTGTTGTAATTGGCCGTCCAAAAATTTAACAACGGACCAAGTTAACGCGAGCCGTTTTCCATCTATAGTAAGTAAAAGAAGGGCGTTCGTGCCCATTCCTATACTGCGTAATTTTTAGGGCTTTCTTTACCCCAATGTGCATAGTAGATAGAATGTAGATAGATTTGAAGTAAATCCGAAGCACGGAGAGTGAATACCGAGTCCTTTCGATATTGAACTAATCAGCATCTTTGTCAGCATTCAGCGACCTCCAAATTTAATCAAGAGCCTGCTCCGCCAGCTCGGCTGTACACAATTCCTTTCCGGAAAACCCACAAACAGATAAGAAAGAACGCCGTGTTCATAATTGTTTGTACCTGAGTTATCACCCAATTAACCATCATTCACCTCATTTCATTCACCATTAGTACAGCATAATTCTAACCACCATCAATCGTAACTTTGTGATATAAATCAATTAAGTGTTAGGTTAACTTTCTAATCAATAATACGTGTCGATTTATCTGTCGGTTGGCATGTGAGTTAAAGACAGATTGGCGCCCAAAAATGATGTAATAAATTTAAATGAAATTGTAAGTATTTGTATCCACGACCCCGCCACAACATTAAGCTTTCCTTTACGATGGGTAATGTCAAAAGAATATTGCGCTAATTTGACACTCCAACGCGCTAGACGACCTGACGGGTCTTTAAGGCCATTTAGCCATAATAGCGAGTGATGATCCGTAATTATATTAAACCTAACCCCCTCGATATAAGGACGAAATTTTTCTATGCTATACAAAACAGCCAATAATTCTCTTTCGGTTACAGTGTAGTTGCGTTCGGCACTCGTGAGAGTCCGTGAGCAATATGCAATAACGACTTCACCCTCCTTTATGTTTTGCGTTAAAACGCCACCTACACCCGTATTAGATGCATCACATTGGATTGTGAACGGCAGTGAAAAATCAGGACTCCTCAACACAGGAGCTGAAACTAAGGCTTGTTTAATTTTCAAAAATGCCTCTTCGGCTTCTTCCGACCACTTAATACTCTGTTTCTTCTTTTTTCCTTTTATTAAATCATTGACAGGGGACACTAACGTGGAAAAATCTTTAATAAAACGTCTGTACCACGAGCAAATACCAATGAACCGTTTAATCTCTGTAGAGTTTGTAGGTCTGGGGTAGTTTAGCATACTATTAAAAATGATATTACATTCAACACGTTATCTATTACGATGGGTATGTCAACTACCCCTGCTACACAACTTTTTTTTCCATCTGCAACGGTAATATATTTTATATTAGTAGGGTACAAATTGAGGCGAAATTTTTCCAAAATATACATGCCCGCCTTACCAATTATGGACCGATTTGCACCGGAATCTAAAAGTGCGACCACGATCGTATCAAACATATGTATTTTAATATACGGTCTATTGTCTAGGTGCCTTTTTTCTACTGCGGTAGAAATGCTTGCCTCGCCTTGAGCCCTTGCCTTGTAAAATTTTGCTACCGTTGTTAACCACGACTGCCAGGAATTATTAAAATTAGTTTTATGTGTGGGCTTACATATGAAAGGATAATATCGCCCTTTATTATCCCTATTCTCTAGTTTTTTGTACATTTCGGGCATTCTTTCATTGTAACGTTTTGATGACCGCACCCGTAACAAAATAACTTCCTGCTTGCGGAGCAGTTACGAAATGTATGATTTGGATAATTACAATTCCAGCACTTAACAGATGTGCGCGTTTCGGAATCGTGCGTAAAATTTTTGTTCCTAATTGTTCTACTCCCATTATAGAAGCGCGGTTTATTTGTGTTAGAGTACCTAGGTGTAGCTATAGTATAACTCTCCACGTCCGATCGGGAATGATCTGGGCATCGATTCCCGAAGTTAGTCGATATGCTCCGTGATGTGCATGTGATGTGACCGGCTGCCATGACGTCATGATCGTATACGATAGGGATAAGTTCAAGTTTAGCCGCATTCCCGAATCGTGGACAAACTTTATGCGCTAACCAATCACAGACAAGAATTGGACTGTCATTTGTCAGTTTTGTATTTTGTTTTGTTTTTGCATTATGGATACTGCTATTAATAACCAGAAAATCCTCGAACAATTCCATGTTTTATTTCACAGAAAATATGTGAATTTATAGGTTAGGGCACTGAATAACCTCTATAGCAAAACAGCTGCAAGATCCGTCCTGTAGCTGCAACTGCGCATGACTTTCACGCAACGAGTGGTCTAGACCAGTCGTTGCGTTCGATCAACTTTTCGCTCGATGTGGTAGGTTCGAGAATGCAGTGACATTCACGTTCACATCAAGGTCAGTCGATGTGAACAAAGCACATCTTCGGGAATCGACGCCCTGGCGTATGACCATTACTTGCCATCTCGTTAACGGATACGGAAACCCCTTTAGCTGACGATTGCGCGGCACTCACGCTCTGTTTTTGCTTACCCGTGATAGTATTTGCGTTATCGATTTTTTTACACACAGCCAACAATTCTGAAATGCAGTTAATTTGGACAAGGGCAAGATGAGATATATAATTAGGAAGTAAATTCCTCCTCAAATATTTTAATCTTGTAGCCTCTGGAATCTCTTGGCCTACGCGTTTGAATAAATTTTCCATCATGGCTACGAAATATGTACGGGCTCGTCTTTCTTTTGGTACCTATCCCTAATCTCCTGCCAAACATCTTCCTCATAATCACACGGCAAAAAATCACATTTAAGCTTAACAACTAATTCGTCCCAATTTGCTACCAAGGGTTTTATAGCCCTAAACCACACTAATGCCCCGTCGGAAAACAATTCAACGGCAGAGTTAAATAATTCCGTCTTACTAATGTTCCTAGCTAAACTATAATCCCCAACTTGTTCTAAAAATGTTAATAAACTAGCCCCTTCCTTTCCTGAAAATTTTAAGCCCCATTTATAAACGGGTACCGACTTACTACCATTATTTTGGAACGGTTGCCCCGTATGTATCTGCTGCTGGTTATTTGTGGGCTGGGTATTTGTGTCCACAGAACCATTCCTGATCACCTTGTCTGCTAAAAGTACCTCTAACTCCAATACAGAGGCAATTGACTCATTTTTGTACACTTGGATAACCTCACTATCATCCCCCTCAACTCGTAATCTAAATACACGGTTGTTGAGATAATTGATACGCGAATTTATTCTTCTAAATTGCGGATCGGACTCTGGGCCTTCGAATTCTGAAATTAATTCCCTAATAGCACTTATTGTTTGTTCAATTGTCACGCATTCCTCATCAAAATTATACAACGGATCCTCGAGGTTAATACGAGGCCGACTTCGATCCTTTTCTAATAATTTAGCCAATATTTTACGTTTAGTTGGGACATCTTTTTTTTCCGTAACCACACCTCTAATGCGCAATTCATAATTTAATTCTTCTGTGCGAAGATCTACGGGCCTCATTCCCAAATATTCCATCATGATTTCAAAAACTAGGTTTTAATTCTATATAACGCGGTAACCAAAATCGTTTTGATATTTTGAACGTAAATTCTATATAACACAAATTTGGCCCCACGTTGGGCGCAATTTAAAAATAATTAACCCCCTGAGGAGAAGCAAGTTTTGTTTTGTTTGAAGGTAAATTTAACTAAATAGATTCTAAGATTCAAATGAATTTACAAAGGAGGGGTCATAATCACTCTCATTTGTTCTTAATTTAGGGGTTAATCTTGAAATTTAACATTGAATTTCATTTTGAATGCGGAAGGTTTTAGAGGAGCAGATTTGTTGATTGAGCTATTTCACTTAATATTGGTAAGTTATCGTAAACAGTCACAATTAAACAAAGCTATCAGGGCTTCGCCACCCTTAAATGTAGATTGGTATATACAAGATTATAATGTACGTAAGTCAATCTCTTTGACTACTTGGGCAAGAATATAGTCCGTTGAAGATAATAGTCAATGCTATATAGAACTTATTGTCTGGAAAAGTACGAGGGTGTTCTCCTTTTGAAATATAAGATTGCCGGATAAATTCACTTGAAAAACAGCACAGTATGTGAACACTATATCGCGATGTGCGCTAAGGGAACACTTCCCATATAGACAGACAAGGAATGCAAAAAAAAAGTTAATTGAATGGTGCAAGAACGCGGGCTGAACGGGTGAGAAACCTCAACGAAAGAGTGAATATCAAGGGAAGATATTTAGTCTGTCCTCGGTTCACTTATTGTGTTTAAAATGTCGAGATTTATATGTATTGTTTTACGACTATGAACTATGACTGCTGAAGCACTTGTTAAATTTAAATAAAAGTAAATTGTAACCAGTGAACTCCATTTTGACAGAAACTTGGATCTAGATTCATGTATTAAATCAAAAAGGGCTACCATTGCGTCTAAGGGGCATAATTAACTTGTTTATACTATACAGATAATCCATCGACACGTAATTTAAAGTACATTCGATATCATTTAATAAATAATCAATTCGATAAATATGGATAAACAATTATTTCGCTAATATACCTATGGATATAATGAGAGTGGATCGAAGTAATTCACGTTAACAACGAAATTGCTTTACTTTATATCTAAATTGGGTTTCATGGAATCAACAAATCGAATTTTTCATGTTTTTACAACAAGTCATTCAGGTGTAAATCACATCAGCTCGAATTATAAAGTTCTTAAGACGGTAATTAGAGTTTCACGGAAATTTACCTGAAAAGTTTATGAAAAAGTCTTGTAGTGATTATTTAATGAGCATTATCGCTTTTCGGCTTTTCCTCGTACTTTCTTTATATACTTTAAGCTCACCTGGTAATTTTTTATGTGTCCAGATGGGCAGGGATCGCTGCACACAGATTTAGGAGTGTCGTCGACGTCTTTCCATTGCAGCTTTGACAAATTCATTTCCAACCTGAAATATAAACATACATTGGAATTATTTCTTAAAAATCTATCAAACTGGCGAACGTTTAATAGAGCAAATTTTTGGTTTCTCGCTTAGATTTAGGGCGGTTAGTTGTTTCGCATATGTTTATACATCAACTACAGCCAGAAGCTTGTTAGTTACATTTCCGTAATGAAACTTTAATCGTTGTTAATTTATGTTTTGTTTCGCTTTACGCTTTAATTAAACACAAATAAAGTTAGGTCAGTGAAAATGACAGTATTCACTTTGTAAATCACAAAAGTTTTGTCGCCATGCAGTTGTGTTCTGGCATTTGCTTTAATTTATGCAACTCCTCAGAAATATCTTGCATGCCGTGGATGGAGTAATACGTGTTATCATTTCGTTTCCAAAAATATGTGATTAGTATGCTGACCAAATATCGATAGTTTTTGTAATGGGAAGGGGAACCTGCTAGGGTCTTTCAATTTTTGTGCGAATAGGTTCCGAGTGCGACCCTGAAAATTTTGAAGCGCCAGTTGGTCCGTCATAAGCAAAATTAATGGGATGTACGAGACCACCCTGCTGATTCAGATCCGTGCATGGGAATTGCCGGGTCCGAGGTTTCTGGCTAACTGCTTTTTCGGATATGTGGTTGGCGAACAAGAAATGAGTTCTATTAATGGAATAGATTTAAAGTCATAGTTGGGCCTATAATTATATTTTTTCCTTCTGGTATTGTATGGACGATTATTCAAACAAACCCTTTCATGGGCTCCTCGTCGAAGAGGACCAACAAGCTGGGACCTCAAAAGGGGGCAGGTAACGGGGTAGGATTCTCGAAAGAGGGGAGAGCTCCAACGCGAAGACCAGTGGACTTTGGACTGGTTGGAGAAGACCGTCCCTCTTATTACACCCTGGGATGGTGCATCTGAAAGTTCAGAGGCACGTCCCTAGGGTAACCTAGGTGATAGCAGTTATACAGACCCCCGGATGTTTCGGCCACCACCTTGAAGCGCCTCCAGAGGCAAAATTCTGGTACAGTCCTGTTCGCATCCTATCGGGCACTCCAGCGGAAAAACTTTCAGGCACACGCGGGGGTTTCGCGAGTCACTTTTGTGACGAAAGCGAGTGTTTTTGCTACGCCGGGTAAGGAAGAGAGCTGTGAAATCCAGTGCCGTTGCGGCGGAGGGGGCTCAATCCCCTGTTATCGACCTCAAAGAGGCATCGGCGAGGTTTTGACACTTCTTGGCCGACCAGAAGTCGGAACCGTCGACATCACTCTGAGAGGGGAGAAACTAGTACATCAGGGATGGACATAGATGACTTTCTTATAGAGAAATTTCCAGCAGAGTAAGGGGGCGACCTGTTTAATAGGCCGTCAATTTAATGTAAAATAGACGGGCGTATGTCTCATACACCTTGGGTTTACATGGGACAAGAAACAGGTCTGAACCAAGGGGAGGACTATCTTTAATAAGAGGGGCAACCAACTGAACCCTAGGATTTGCTATCCTAAGACCGAAGAGTTATAAGGTCACTCTCCCGGGCAGGGAGCAGTGGCTAAACTCAGATTGCACGTTCCTCAAACCTGAGGGGTTCGTGTGGTTTACAGACGGGCTATCAAGCACGAGCATGACAACGGGAACAGCAGCGAGCTTAGGAACATGGTACACCTACATGGACTGAGGGTGGAAAACACATTGAGCAAGTCCAAAACGGTGCCGACAACATGGAGGAGGGAAAACTCTGAATCGCAGATTGACCACATATTAAGGACGAAATCAAAAGAAATAAGGCATCACGTAACAGTAGGCTTAGGGGCAAAAACCGTAGAATCGGACCACAAAATGGTAAGGGGGAAAGTAAAGAGGAGGGAGGAAGAGAGGAGGAAGGAAAGGACAATGGGCAAAGCGGGAGAACCGAATGGTGGGATGTGAAACTTCTGTCAGGGGAGAAGAAAAGGGAGGGGTACATAAAGGAGCAGGAATAGATTAGAAGCAAAAAGGAGGAAGGAGGGAGGAGGAAACGCTCAAAGAAACAGCAGGGAAAACACTCGGGCAACAGAAACCGCCCCACGTCACCGAACAAGAAGCGATCCATGGATAATCACAGCAGAGCAATCAAGAGGTTTGGGCAAAACTCACACAAACCTGAGAAAATGAAAGAGCTAAGGGAAGCCAAGGAGGAGAAAAACAGAGCCTTTGAGCAACACGAAATCAAGGAATTCGCCGAGTTCGCGGAGAACATCGCCAAGCTCAGACCAATGGAGAGAAATGTGCAAATGTATATAGGCACATAAAAAAAACAAAAGGAGGAAACAAGGGGGAAACAAAAAATATATACCAATGACAGCGTGGGAGAAACTCCCGAAGGGGGAACAGGAACTAATGACAGAGGACGACCACTGGCCACTCCCGCCACCCACACGGTGGAAGAAACGATGGAGATAATAGGAAGACTGAAAAAGGGGAAAATGCCAGGACAGAATAGACTCCAGGCCGAATTACTACAATACACCTCCAAATGGCTAATAAAGGACCTACATGCATTGATACAGGAAGAATATGGACCAGGAACTTGGTGCCTAAGGAATGGCAGCAGCCAGTGCAGATTTCCATCCCGAAAGTCATGTCACCACAAGGAACAGATGACTACAGAAGAATCTCTCCATGGAGTGCGGGATACAATATATACGCAACCGACCTACTACAATGCCTAGAGGGCCACACAACCGAGACACCAGCATACCAAGCAGGATTCATGAAAGGAACTTCAACTGATGACCATATATTCACAACCAGGGGGATCCTAGACGAACAATGGAGAACAGGAACCAAAACATGGCTTCTAGCAATAGGCCTTTGACCAAGTGAAACATGAAGCAATAGCCACCTCCCTGGAGATGCTGGGACTGGCCAAATTCCTAATCAACAGAATCATAACCCGTGCCTAAGGGAGTATACTCTAGTATACAATGGTTTGACAGGAAGACCTAGCACCAAACGAAAACCAGACGAATCAAACAAGGATGTCCGTTTTCCACAAGGCCATATCCTGGTTCACATGGAACACCACCATAGAACCAAACGGTAGAGACCTCGGGGATTCCCATGGGAAGAGAGGAGCAGAGACAAACATCAACTGAAGAAAGAAAGCAGAAGAATATATCGCAGCTTCATTTTACACGCAACAATTACCTATATTCATTAAAAATATTGTCAAAATAGGAGGCGCGTACAAATTTTGCCAAAGTTTTACTGTTTGGCAATGAAGCAGGCAAAGACATAAAACTCTACCAGCATCCTTTCAGATGCATAATAATTACTTAATGAATTTAAGCCACAACAATTTAAGTTAGTTCCACACATTTCAAATCTGAGTGGTAGTGTAGATGTGCTGAATTTCGTCTCGTTGAATTTCATTTTAGCCCTGTAGTTGTGCAAACGCGTTGACAGAAATGTAACTCAAAGTTAACTTGTTACAATGTGAACTCATCGTCCATAAAAGATAAAGCAATCGGTTCTCTTGATATTCCACGAGAAAGCCGTAAGGCGTTACGCTACATAGTAAACTTATTTAGCCACACGTTTTCCTCCCGAAAGACATAAAATTTCATAATGGCTGGAATATTGCTCAATAACCAAGACTTGCATTACAATTCCACAGAGAACAGTGAATGTAATGTATTTGCACGGATAACTGCACTATGCAGTATAAATATTGGGACAGTGACATAAACATGCAAGGAAGCAATTTTCATTGCGCTATATAGTGCGCATATTAATACCTAAATTAATGGCCAAGCTCTAAAATTGGCTTCCATTCAAATTTCAATTACTGCCTTAAATAAAACCTCCAACTTGCCGTAGTATTGTATGCATAACAGCGACAATTAAAAATCTGTAAAACGTATCAGCTTAATTCCATTAAACTGGAATTTAATCGTTAGATAAATATGGTCAGCTTATTAAATGTCCCAAGAGTAACTTCCATTTTGCCTCTCAAGTATCAGTAATGAGAATTTAAATATTCCGCCACGGAGAGCGTTTATAACGTCAGCGTAATCGTGGGGACGCCGCGTCATAAATTAAATATTTTTAATTTACGAAGGAGATACTTTTCAAATAAACTTTTTATTATAAGATTCTAGGTTTCGTATAACGTAAAGATGAGCTAGTACTAACATTTAATTTGAAGAAGTTTCAAGACTTATTACCTGTTATTACTTTTATTATTAATGACATTAGCTTGCAGTCCTATAGTTGCCTATACCCCAATACTAAATTGTTAATGTGAAGATGCCAATGTCATGAGTGCATTTATTTATTTATTTTAGCATTGAAAATTCTTGTTTTGTATATGGAAGTTACCAGTTTCGTTCAAGCAGAAAAGACAGCGTTGTCGCATCAAGTGATGATTGTACCGTACTCGGCGGACTCGGCCGCAATCGGTAGGTTAAGGAAAAGTTGCGAATACTGTCGATACGGTACTTACTTAATAGTGCGCAATTGTTTTGTTGAATACGGGAAATGTCTTCAAATTAAGAAAACGCAATGGTGAGAAGGTGCTGGTGTACAGGTCGACGGTATGGGGATGGAAGGAATGGGATGTATTAGACGGAATACGAAGAAGGTACTACAAATGCAATAGCGAGTAGCGACGAGGATGGAATCAAAAGGAATCTGGTAGGAACGAAGGAACAACTATTACGAAAGAAACCGATACGGAGGGGGAAGGGAAGTCGAAAGGAAGAGAGAAATAAGGGGAACGGTGGAAGGAGAGCTGTGATCTAAAATTATTTATTTTATGGTCAGATAGGTTACGGTCCAGTATCTCCGTCATGGATTTTATGGAGAATTAATCCAAAAGAACTTAGTCAGATTTTGTTTAGTGGTTTGCCAGTTGGCACGTTCTTAGGTGACATCCCTCCTCCACAACTCCCGGTCCATTGTCTTTGCTTTTAACAACCTCCTCCAAGTCTACATCTCGAATGCTTCAAGTCTTTCTAGTTCTCTTTTGTTTAA